GTTTCCCTGGCCCAAGGGCTGGGAAGAGAGCCTGGGAGGGAGGAAGCCGTGCTCCAGCTTGTCTAACTCAGCCCATGTGCCAATGAACAGTGTTCCTTTTAAAAATCAACCATCTTGCAATTTCTGGGATCCGTGGGATTTTTGCCGCTTGGGTTGAGGGTGGGGGCAGCAGTTTTTCACCCCAAACCACATGAAGGCAAATTCACTCAGAGCCACCGAACCACATCCCCTGCCTTTCATAGCGGTGTTCTACCTTCTACAAAAGCTCTGGGTTCTCTGTCATGCTTTCTTTTTTCTTCCTGGGTCCCAATTGTCAAGCCTTCAAGAAAATGCACTTCAGTCCTTTGTCACTGAGTGTAATTTGATAAACTGAGCAGAAACACACTGCTCTCTCCCCATCCTTTCAAAAACTGTTACCGCCAGAGAAAGAGGCTGAGGAAAAGAGATCTGAGGTCTTTGAATGGACGTTTAAGCACGAGCGCACGCGCACGCACACACGCACACACACACACACACACACACACACACACACACACACACACAGAGTCTCATGCACATACCAGGACATAGAGTTGCCCGGGATGGGAGGAGGTGGAATCCCAGAGTCTGGCGCATGGGGGCCTGGGCCTGGGGTCCCCGGGGCGGATGCCCTCCCAGCAACCAGCGACTCCCCCAGTTGCAGGCCTGGTTGCAGCCGCCCAGTGGGCGGTGCCAGGGCAGGTTTCAGGCTATAAAGGGCTCTTGGCTGCCCGGGCCAGAGGGAACGCCATCGCTGCGGCAGTGTCCCTGGCAGCCACAGCCAGCTTGGGGCACTGCCGGTGCCCCATCGCCACGAGGCAGGCTACTCTTCCAGATTTGGACACAGCTCTCAGCTGCGTTCCTCCTACCTAGACCATCGGCAAGTCCCTTTTTGGGTTGCTTTCGTCTGGGTTGGGTGTGGGGTGGAAGGGGAAGGACGGGGTATGGGGGCTTCGACAGGGGAGGATGGGGGGATGTCTATTTCTTTGTAAGATTCCTTCCGGGGCAAGTCTCTGAAGCTGAGATTTCTAAGATGAGGTTTGGGGTAAGGTTCATTCCTTATCTGGGCAAAGGAGAGAGCAGCAAAATTCTTTCCCAAGGGCCTCCCCCTGCCCCCCGCCACCTTTCCAGGGCGGCAAGAGTGGGTGAGGGGCTCTCTCCTCGCTGGGGGTCTCAGGGAGGTCGGGAGTAAGGAGCCGGGCTGTGCCGGCCTCTGACACTTGGAGAAGGGTCTTTGTCTATAAACCAGAACGAAAATAAAAAATAAAAAATCTAGACAGCCAATGATGACAGGATACCTGGGGGGTGGGGCAGGAGCAGTAACGCTAAGGGACAAAGAAGAAGAAGAGAAATAAATAACCGGAATCGGGAAATCAGCTCGGGTCCACAGCATCACAAATGGCAGGACGGCACCCTCCAAGAGGTGGGTGGGCTGGGTGGGAGTCTGGTAGGTGACGGTTTCAAAGCGGTCCGTAAATGTTCTGAACAACAGCCTCGGGGCATCTGAAAAGGCAAGGGAGGGGGATGGAGGAAGATCTAGCTCCTGGGGTTCTAGAAAGGCAGCAATCATATCACCGTGGTGATTTTCAAGCAGAGCCAGTGTGACTCCCCAGCCCTAAGCAGCCAGGGACAAGGAGGGTTCCCCCCACCCCCAGGATATCCAGGGCACAGTCGGGGAGCGTCCTCTAAACTGCCCTTGAGGATGGGGCTCCTCTGGAGGGGCACTGCCGGCCTTGGCATGCCTGTTCTGGAAGGAGGGCGTAGAGCTGGAGAAGGTAGACAAGCAGGCCTTTGGGATGAATATCTGGGGTTGTCAGTTTAGATCCAGGGCCAAAGGGGCACACATGGGAGTAGCAGTTCCTCCTGTGATTGCAGAGAAGCGGTGGAGGGACAAATCTGTGCAGGAGCCGGAGTCCCGGGGTGGGACCTCTCCTACACAGCTCCTAGGAAGGAAACAGAAGGTTGCTTCCCTGCTGGACTTGGGGTTTTTCAGGAAAGGGGCCTTGCCACTGAGAGGTCTTAGAATGAAATGAGGACCAGCCTGAGGCCTGGAGAGGGTCGAGAGGGAGTGGAGAGCTGATTTCTCAGAACTTCTGCCTGCCAGCAAGACAGAATGGGGCAAAGAGCAGACAGGACTTCCTGAGGTCAAATTCTGAGCTCTATCCCTCCAGCTAGACTACCCAGGTCCAGGGGAGAGACCTGGAAAACCTTACATACAGTATAGACCCCTAAAAACCAGCTCTGTGTCCTGCCCAACGCCTCCTGGTCTCTGTTTTCTGGTCACCATTCCCCTTTGGCTCTGGTTGGAAGAAGCAGAGGCAGTTTTAGGGAAAAGAAAGTAAATAAGTTTAAGTATTTAAAAATCCAGGCCAAAACTATGCAAACTCGAATATAAAATTGACGACTCTGTTGTCAGTTTTCACGGTCAGAACGGACGTTAAACAAAGGGACAGCTTCCATGTGGGATAGGATCTCAGGTCTCATGGGGCTGCGTGCTTGCTTGGGAGAAGAGAGAGTAGGACAGTACAGTAGGCATGGGTGGGGGATCCTCTGGGCCTCAGTTTTCTCATTAGTACAAAAAGTAATATGTATAACTAATACCTAAAAAGAGTATTATCTCATGGGGCTGTATGGAGATGAAACCAAAACAGCGCAGCCAAAGAGAACTGCGGGCTTTACAGACCATGAGCATAGAAGGTATTTGAAAGGTGCAATGCCTCCTTTCCTTTGGGCATAGAAATTCTGGGACACTCCTGGGAGCTCTGTGCTTTGATGAGGAACAGGCATGAAGGCCGATTTGCCCCTGTGGATGGGTGTTTTCTCAGCCCAGAGAGAGGGTCCAGAGGCTGTGCCCTGCCCTTCGTGTGCATATTCTGAGTGTCTGCAGTCTGACCTCCATATTCTCCCCGCCCCTTCTGCCAAGCATTGCCAAGTGCATCCATCCAGAGCTCCATTTGAACCAGCATCCTCAGGACAGATCCCCTGTCTGTTCTGACTGATTTCGAGGTACCTGAAGGCCCACAGGGGTATGAAACACAAGTTGTGAGCCAAGGCCTCAGAGCACTATAAGCAGTAGCTGGAGGCTGGGTGTGGCCTGGGACCCAGGGGAAAGGATTGTAGAAGGGCTTGTGGTGGTGGGGAGGGGTGTCAGGGGAGAGTCCACAGGATTCCTTGAGATACCAGCTGCTGCCAGTCTGTAGGGAGATTGATGCTGACGGGGATGGAAGGGGGTAGATCATTCTCAGGCCAGAATGAGAAAAATATTCTGTCCCATAGTCCATTCCCGCTCCCTGAGCCTCACGGGTTGTGCTGTGACCCACCTTTGGGGCAGTCTGCCAGGGGCCAGCCACATTCCTTTGGTCAAAGGAGGGGTTGGGTGACGTTCGAAAGGACTGGGGTTCAGTCTGGGGCCAGGAGCAGGGTCGATCTGTGACCAGGATTAAGGGTCGATCTGGAAATTAGGCGCCGGGGTTTGTTTTAGGTTGGGGTGATGGGTCAGACTGAGGTCCAGGGCCAGGGTCAGAAGTCCATGTGAGGTGGATGAAGGAATGTCTCGGGATGGAATCCGACTGGTGAAGATGGTTGCTGACCCTTCTCTGTCCTGGCCCTGCCTGGCCAGCCTGCCCTACAGACCCAGCGTTCCTACTTTTCCCAGCATCTCTGGCATGTCTTAGAAAATTATACCACCACGACTTTCTTCTCTTTTGTCCTAAGTGCTTTTGGGGATTTGAGCAAAGAGATGGTTCCAATTAGGAAATCCAGCAACTATTGTTGTGGGGCCGGGCTGTCCCTGTGGACATTCTCCAGGACCCCACTTGGTGGCTGAGCAAAAAGGACTCAGAATGACTTCCCCATGCCCCCTCCCAACTCCCACTCTGTGGTGGAACAGGAGGAGAGGAGGAAAATGCACAAAAGTCACCTCCCGGAGTATGGGCAGGGAAGGGGAAAGCAATGCCTTCCGGGGCTGTGATCCCCACAGAGCAGATGCCCTTGTGGACTTTTGAGGCTGGTGGCTGGGAGGTGGGTGTTGTGTGAATTTGTTAATGATGATTCTCTGAGTGCACATGCATTCCTACATATGTGTGTGTGCTCACTATTTGTGGATCTGTCTAGCTCAGTAAGGCTGCATGTCCATCATTTCACAGATGTGTGTGTGTGTGTGTCTGTGTGTGTGTCTGTGTGTGTGTGTGTATCTATCCTTTCAGAGATGGAGGTCTCCATAGGTGGGTTCCCCAAGGTCATCTTGGCCATTTCCCCACCTTGAGACCAGTGCTGTGTCTGGGGGTTGGGCTAGAGTCTTAGGGCTCTTCAAAATAGTGGGGCCTCAACAATTGCACCCCCGCCCCATTCTCACCCAGCTTCAACCCCACGCTGAGAGGGAGGCGGCACTGGTCTCGCCACTTGCCGGTGCCCAGTCCAGTGGACTGTTCTGTGAGACCTCCCCGTTGTGAGGGTGTGCCCCAGCTTTGTATTTCTGGGGCCACAGTAGTGCTGACAGGAACTTTGTGAATACCTGGGCCCCAAGCTGCCTGGAATGGAAATATGAGGGCACTGGCTGGGGGTGGGGTGGGGTGGAGAGGAGCCCTCTGGGAGCTGGCAGGCCGGCCCTTTTAGGGCTGATCTCCCACTTTGAAGGGACATTGAGGGCGGGAGGCCCAGGAATGGCTTCCCCGTGAATCTGTAGTACTCTAACTGTCCACCAGGTGGGGTTCCAAGGCAGAGAGTGAGAGTCGCGATGACAGAGCTCTAGCAGCGAGAGACCAGCTTTCAAATCTCCGCCGTCACTTCAACCTCCCAAGCGCTCATACAGGGAGGGACAGCACATATGCTCGCACCTTAGACGCTCACACACATTCTCTTCTAGTGAACTCTAAAATAGAACACGTACTGGGTGCAGGGGAGGTGTTAAAAGGGGAGTCGAGTTTCGTTTACACACACACCACCCTAAACTGTAGGTGGGATATCCAATCTTCTGCTCTGGGAGTGCGGGAGAGTGAACGACAGACACCAGGGGGCTGGGGGAAAAGAGGACCTACGGGAGAGGGCGAGCCAGGCACTAGCTAGATGATGCCGGGCTTGGCACGCGGAGCTCCATGTATCACAGACACGCAGGAGGAGAGGCCAGATGACAGACGGATGCACGGATGCACAGACACACGTATAGCTCCAGAGAGAACACACAGACCCGCAGACACACCACCCAGCTCCACAGATGTCGGGGCGACCCGAGGACACGCGCGCGCACACACAGGTGCGGCCCCGGGCCACACGCACACCTCGCACAGGCACGCGCGCCGGGGCCTCTGCGGCCGTTCAGAGAAGGTGGCCGCGCTCTCCCAGCGTGTTTATTTACTCATTTGTATCAATGAACGTTTGTGCCCGACTCCTCCCGCCTCCGGGTGCCGGGGCTGCCGGCTGCCGCATTTGTCCCCGGCGCGGGACACTCACCAGGACCGCCACTGGGGTTCCTCCGACGCTGCGGGGGGCGAAGGGGACTACAAAGTTAGGGCGTCCGAGAGGAAGGGCTGTAGCGTGAGCCTCCCTGGATGCGGATGGGGGAGAGGGGAACATAGGAGTCTTGGAGGATGAGAGACATCTGCGCGGAAGGGGGCGGGCAGCGGTGGTGGAAAGACCTTGGCATCCGAGGTTTGGGGTTGCCCGGATCCGGGATAGGGGACCCCGGCTAGGAGTAATTGGGAGGGGGCAAATTGGGAAGATTGATGGGGTCCCGGGAGATAAGAGCCCGCGGGGTTCCGCGGGATTGGAGCTTGGGACCCCAAGCACAGGTCCAGGGATTTTCGGTGGCCCTCAATGGAGGGGCAGTCTGGCGGAGACCTCAGCCTCTGGGGCTACGGCCCAAACGGGACTGCCCGGGGCGGGAGGAGGGGGCCGGGGACCAGGAGGGAGGAAAAGAGGGAGGGAAGTAGCCTAGCAGCCAAGCGGGCACTGTGCGAGCGCGCACGGTGTGTGTGTGTGTGTGTGTGTGTGTGTGTGTGTGTGTGTGTGTCTCCTCTCGTCCGTCTGTAGGTGCCTGGCTCAGCGAGACGCCGGCGAGAAGGAAGAGGAGGCGAGAGGTGAACTGAGTTTGATCCTGCGGCGGCTACAAGTGGGTCCCGGGCGGGCGACCGGCGGCGGGCGGCCGGGGCGGGGCGGGAGGCCGGCGGGCGCTCACACGCTCCGGCCGCCGGCCTCTCACCACGCCTCCGGCTTTGTGAGCGCGCGGGGGGGGGGGGGGGGGTGCGGGGGGGGGTGGGGGTGGGGGTGGAGTGGGGTGGGGGTGGGGTGGGGGTGGGGTGGGGGGGCGGGCTGGCGGAGCGCCCACGGCGCAGCCTCCCGCCTCTATATAAACACACGCATCGCGTCGCTTTGGACTCAAATTCACATTGAGAGAAGCTTTTAAAACCACCAGCCCTGAAATCCTGCCTCCTGCTTTTCCCCCTCTTTCATTCCTTTTGCCTTCCTTTCTTTTTTTCCCTCTTTCTTCCCCCAGCAGCAACTCCAGAACCGAGAGACCGCGTCCCGGGACGGATTGCCTTTTCTTAATTGATACAATAGCCCAGCTCGGGTTTTCACCTCCTCCCCCAACCCCACCCCGCCTCACCCCGCCCGCCCGCCGGCCGCCGCCGCCGCCGCCGCCCCAGCGCCCGCCCGGGGCTCTGTCGCCGGCCGCGTCCCGTCCCGGCTGCGGTCCGCCGGCTCCGCACCCGCGCAGCGCCCGCCGCGCCGCCTCGTCCGCCGCGCCCGCCTCGGGGGTGCAGCGGCAGCTCTGCGGCTCCGGCGCGCCTCCCGGGGCAGCCCAGGGACGCTGGGCTCGGGCCTCTCCACTCGCATCGGCTGGGGAGCCTTCCCCCTCACCCCTAAAGTTTCTGGGTTCTTTGGAATTTTTGGATTCAGAAATCTTTTTTTCCCTTTTTTTTCCACCTAGGAATTTGAGGGGAGAACTTTTGACAAATCGATCGCACTTTCTCTCCGATAGCTCTTACGAGAGAGGCTCCCGCTGGACAAAGTTTTCCAAAGTTTTCCGAGTGTGATGGTTTCGGGGAGAGCTAATCCATCAGCTTGATTCACGGCTTCATCTCACCACCCCTCGAGCAGCCCCTAAGCCCGCTATAAGGGAACAAACAAACAAACAAACAAACAAAGTTACACTCCGAGTCGTCTCCTGTCTCCTCTCTCTTCTTGTAGGCAATTTTTTTCCTCCCTCTCTCCGCTCCCCTCGCAGCCTCCACTCCCCTTCCCTCAGCCCCTTCCCTCGGCCCCTTCCTCCTTCTCTGTTTCGGCTGGAGGTGCCAGGACCCCCGGCCGCAGCCTCCCCTCCCCCGCCGCTCGCGTCCCTTCTCATCCGGCCCTCCCCTCCCCCGCTGCGGACTGCACAGCCAATCCCCCGAGCGGCCGCCAACATGCTCTTTGAGGGCTTGGAGCTGGTGTCGGCGCTGGCCACCCTCGCCGCGTGCCTGGTGTCGGTGACGCTGCTGCTGGCCGTGTCGCAGCAGCTGTGGCAGCTGCGCTGGGCTGCCACCCGCGACAAGAGCTGCAAGCTGCCCATCCCCAAAGGCTCCATGGGCTTCCCGCTCATCGGAGAGACCGGCCACTGGTTGCTACAGGTAAGGGCGCGCTCGCTCCGCTGCTCCCCGGGGTCCGCTAGCGGCGAGCGCAGGGCAGTTGGAGCAGCGGGCCGGCCAGGGGGCGCCGGGAGCCTGAACGCACAGGTCCCCGCCCCGCCCCTTCCCTCCTCTTTGCGGGTGTAGCCGGGGCTTCCTTTGCCAGCCCGCCGCGTGGTTCGGAGCCCATTGGCGCCGGGTGCGCAAATTCTGGGGGGCTGGTAGGAGAGGTCCCTGGACTCCCAAGATTGACTTTCCCCAATCGCGGGCGACCCAGCAGGGGTGCGTGGGCCGTCCGGGGTTTTCCCCGCGCGATGCCAGCCGGAGGGGGAGTCGGGTGGTGAGCAGCTTTCGCCTCACCTTCTCGCTCCAGGCCCCTGTCACCGTCGGCTGCCAGGGCTTGGGAGGTATATTGGTACCCGAAAATTGAGGGGAAGGAGCCAATGGCAGCCAGAATTGCCCCCTTAAGACCCCGGCTGTGTGTTCCCGCCGCGTCGTCTGCTGCGCTAGGTACAACCGCCCTGGTCTACAGTCCAAGAAAGTGTGTGTATTTAGTGGTGGGGAAGGAAGGAGGTAACCCAAGGAAGATGAGAAGCCCGAGACCAGAGAGTTCTTGGCTTTTAAGGAAAGGGGTCTATTTACTTATTGGGTGGGGACACTTGAGCAGGGGAGAGAAACTTGGGATTGGTGTATGAGATCCAAAGAGTGCGTGTGTATGTGTGTGTGCGTGTGTGTGTGTGTGTGTTGCTAGACGCCACACAACCGCATACTGCTGGTGATAATGGGGGTGGGTGCGTTGGGGACCAGACTCAGGTAAGTAATGGGGAGATTAACCTGGAATTAACCTCGTCAAGTGCTAGACAAACGCTTTTGCAACTTGATATACACCAGGTTTTTTGGGGGGTGGGGGGCGCCTCTGGTTAACCGCGGGAGGTGTGTTGTGTTCCGGTGAACACCCGTGTTTGTCGGGAGGATGCTGGTGGGAGTTAAGAGAAGGGTGAATGTCCTGAAGACAACCCCGGCAAGGGTGAGGTGAGGCGGGAGGCGACGGCAGAGACCTGTGGGTTTAGAAGTGCGAGAGCATGGCTTGAAATTAACAGACGCGTGCAATTCGCGAGCTCGCACACGGACACCCTGCCCGGCCCCGCCCCGCGCGGAGTGACAGAGGAGCGGGGGGCGGGGAGGGGGGCGCGCGGTTCCTCTAGGTTGTGGTCTTCCCAAGTTCCAGAATCGGCCCATCTCTTTTGGGGATGCTCATGCAGTGGGGTGGGATTCGCTTTAACCAATAGGGCTACCCTCCGTAAAGAAGTCCCCAGAGCCTCTCCCGTGCCACCACCACACTTAAAGAGTTAACTGCGGAGGTGGTCTAGGCTTTTGGCCGAGAATTTAGGAAATAAAATAACTCACGCGGGCATCAGCTCCCGTCTCCTTAGAGCCAATCTGCGGAATCCGTGGTGTATCGCCCCCCCCCCTTTCTTGACCTGGCTCTGCTACCCCCGAACATCCCCCTGACCTTTTCTCCGAATCCCACAAGGGCCCCTGGGGCTCCGTGCCCAACCCGCACTGAAGTTGGGGAAAGGGAACCAGGCCTACGCCTCCCCTTCCATTAGCCCGCGGGGCCCTAGACTCCCCCGTGGGAGGGAAATAGGGGGATGCCTGTAGAAGAGCGCTGAAGGGGTTAATGTGAGCCCTCTGAATCCCAGCTTTATTTTTTTGGAGTCATTTATCAGATTTTACGGGGAGACCTCCAAGGGCTCTCCGTTTCCACCGTGCGCCATCTAAACAGAGCCTAGGGCTAAAAATACAACATTTTTGTATAAATTGGACTCGCGGCCCGAGCGGCCGCCCCTATGAAAGTCCTCTTTGTGAAGACCGTGGAAACGGCGGACAAATAACTCTTTATTAATGCCACAAAAAAACGCACTTTAATTATAGTTAGGCAGATCAGAGACGGGAGGGGGGCGGCGGGAGAGAGGCGGCGGCGACCTCGGAAAATTCACAACCCAACTTTTGTGTCGAAAGAAAAGAAAAACAGAGGAAAAGAAGGAGAGGAGCGACGGAGAGTCAGACGGAGCGAGGGAGACGGGTATAGCAGACGGAGGGAGGGAATCCCGCTCCTCAACCCCCCCTTGGTCGCACCTCCACCCTCGCCTAGACTTCTCTTAAAGGGGAAGACCCCGTCTAGAACTGCGGTGGGGTGGGGAAGCTCTCTCCGACCCGCCAACCTGGGAGTGGGGTGGCGTCCCCCGCGGCCCAGCCCCCCTCTAGGAGGCGCGGCCGCTCTGGGCTCGCTCCCTGTCGCGCGCCGGGGCCGGAGGCGCATGTGGAAAAGTGATTAGGGCTCCGGGTTCTGCAGAGTCACTTTTCGGCGGTGCTGGGTGTGTTCACATTTAGCTGGAGAATACTTTTATGTAGAAGAAAGGGAAGTGAGCAGAGGGATCAACCCGGGAAAAGGGGATGTCCAGGTGTCCCTTCGGGGGTACAGGACTCCGTAGGTCTGGAGTCCGCATCCGCAAGTCGTTGCCGGCCAAGCAAGAGTGCGGGACAGGTGGCGCCTCTCCCCTTGGCACCGGGCGCTGCCCCGGCGGGAGAAGGGTTAACGCGGGGTGGGGTGGCGAGCGCCTACGTCAAAGGTGAGCCGGACGCCCCTGCCCCCGCCCCTCGGAGGTCCCCTCGGTTTCCGGCACCCGCTCGTGGGCCGGCTCAGCCAGCTCCACCGCGCGCGGGGCCGGGGTCGGGGCCTAGCCGTCCCGGGCTCGCGCCGTCGCTGCCGCCGCCGGGGATCCGGTTACCTGTGACGGCCGCCCCGCCCTGCCCCGCCCCGCGGGAAGCGCCTTCCTCCGAGCTCCTGTTCCAAACTCCAGGGCGGCGACGAAACTCCTTCTCAGTTATTCCCAGGGCGGATTGCATTAGGAAAATCGCGGCTCGCGGCCCCGTGACCCTACCTTGCAGATCCCTTAGAGGGCCGCCGGGTCCCTTCGCGGCCCACCCCTGAGAACGGAGGAAACCCCAACCCCCTTCTGTAGTGACTGCCTCCGGGCACGGACCGCTCGCCGCTATAAATAATCTTTGGCCTGCGGCCACCCCGCGGGGTCTCGCCAGCCCGTGGCCGGGAGCCTGGAAATATTTATTCCGAGAGTCTCCGGAGCGTGAGGCGGGGGAGCGAGGAGGAGGGGGGTGGAGGCTGTAGCTTCGGGTCCCGCCGTCCGGGATACCTTTTTCCTCCCGCAAGTCATTACCAAAAAACACCCTCCAGAGGGGTGTCCCTGGCCTCCCGCCTTCTTGCATTATTTATTATCCTCTAGGCCCTACTTCCCAGTTCTCGTGCATGCTATGAAAAATAAAACCTTCGTTCGTGTGTGTGTGTGTGTGTGTGTTGGTGGTGGTGGTGGTGGTGGGGTGACAGAGGACTGGTGGCCTGGGCTGAATCTTCTGCCCCCCCCCCCCCCGTCCCCCACGCCGCGGGCCCTCCAGGCTGGGCCTCTGGGACATCCCATCCGGAGATGTACGCCCTGAGAGAGGTCTCTTCCCTGGTTCCCGCAGGGTTCCGGCTTCCAGTCGTCGCGGAGGGAAAAGTATGGCAACGTGTTCAAAACGCACTTGCTGGGGCGGCCGCTGATCCGCGTGACAGGCGCAGAAAACGTGCGCAAGATCCTCATGGGCGAGCACCACCTGGTGAGCACCGAGTGGCCACGCAGCACGCGCATGCTGCTGGGCCCGAACACGGTGGCTAACTCCATCGGGGACATCCACCGCAATAAGCGCAAGGTAAGAGCTCTCTTTCGTCTAAGAGCCCCGCAGCCCTGCTCTGAATCTCTTCTTCCGTGCACCTCTTCTTCCGGGTGTAAGGAGCGGGACAGTTCCACACGAATCTGCGCCCCCCATTTGCACACCATGCTAGAGGATCCCACAGTCCCGTGCCTAGACGACTGCGGTCCGGGATCCAGAGCCCGCAGGCCTCCTCCGGGTCTGCCCCACTATCGGTCCTCTGTGCCATTCCCATTACCAGGCCAGACCCATCGGTGGCTGTTGTGGGGAGGTTGTTTGGACAGAGCTCAAACATGCAGGGAGTAGGGCATACAACTCCTGTCCTCGCGCACTCCACAAAACCGAGAAAAGATAAAGGCAGATGGTGGTCCCCGCTCTCCTTTTCGCCCTGTTTCCCTCGGGAATTCTGAGGACAGAAAACCGATCTTTGGAAAACCAAACCTAGCCTTTCTGCCACTGGTTCCTTAAGGGCGACGCGGGCAGGCTCGGGGAGCTGAGCACCCCGTGCACTACGGTAGCAGGGCCTTGCCTTGGCGGGGCGGAGGAGGAGGTGGAGGTGGCGGGGAGATGAAGTTTGGGGCACTGACGCTCAGCGCTGGACGGCGGAGGAAGGGCGAAGGGTGGGAGAGCAGCGGAGGCGCTGCGGGGGATCAGAGCGCACCTACCCCCTCCGGTACAGAGGAAGAGAAAGTGGGTGTTTATCCTGTGGATTTCCCGAGCGCCTGGAAGAGGCGCGGAGGAGGCGAGCCAAAGCGCACGGAGCGAGCAGAGCCTCCCCGCCCCCTCCCAGGGCCGAGCCGCCGCCGCGGCTCTGAGCGCGGGCGGCACGTGCTGTTTGAACTGCAGTAACCCCAAAGCTGGGCCGCCGGCGGGCGGGGCGGCGGGCCTCCAGCTTCAGGCGGCCAGTGAGGGGGCGCTGCACGACCTCCCCTCCCTCCCCGTTTTCCACTGGGTCAGAGGACTCATCCAGGTTTGAAACCTTAAGGAAAGAGAGAGGCAGCCTCAGATCTGCCCAGAACAGTGGCAGAGTGTGTATGGGGGGGGGGGGGGGGGGAGCGGCGCGGGCAACGGTGAGCGGCTCCCCCCTCCAGGAGTCTATGTGAAGAGGTCTTTGTGAACGTAGGTATTCATCTTGTAGTATCTGATGTCTTTGAACGGCCTGCGAAGAGTAGTTTTCCATAGCAGACAAAAGGAGGCAAAATCCGATGGAGGAGGCACACCCCCCCCCCCCCCCCGCTCTCGTAAAGCACGGGTTTCAGGGACTGGAAAGGGGCTTCTAGAGTAGTCTTCCCCCATGTGCCTCACTAGAGCAGGAAGCAGCTAACAGGTCCAGAGGAGAGATGGGAAGTGCCTGGAAGGGGGCTATGGGCTCAGCACGGGGGGCTTCTAAAACGTGTTCGGCACTATTTTTTCTTAGTCTTTAGGGCTCCACCCAAAAACCCCTTTCCAAAGAGTGAGGAGACAGCCCGAGACTCAGAAACCCAGCTACGAGGACTATCTGCTTCCTCATTTTATCTTTATAGAGACTTTGACAAGAAAATAGTCATTGTCCCCTTCTCACAGAAGGGGACACTGAGGCTTGGGAGTTTGAGAGACTTGAATCAGGTCAGGAAGCAAAGAAAGGGTAGGACAGGGCATGCAACACAGGCATCCGTGGGGAAGAGTTGTTTCTACCCATAAAGCAGAAGGGGAGCCTTACTTAGTCCTGCCGACCTAGGATTGCCAGAGCTGGTGGTGAGAGTAGGGAGGAGGCGCTGGGAGGAAAAGGAAGGCTGGATCAGGACCAGACTGTGAGACCCTGGGGGTGGAGAGGGCTTTGGGGCAGGGCTGCCTTGTGGTTCCACCCACCCTGTTCCTGACTTGGCTGTGGGTCTCCAGGTGGGGAGGGCCCACCTGGAAAGCCCCATGGTTTGGGCCCACATGGTCCATTTGGAAGGAGGGAAGGAGATGCCCCAGAGCACACTGCCAGAGGAATGCCAGGGAGAGCTGGGGGTAGGGCAGGGGCGGGGGCCAAAGCTGAGAGCCACAGAACAGTCCTCGATGATCTCCCTCTTTGGGACACCCTATCCTCTAGCTCTTGGGGGATAGGAAGCAGACAGAAAGCAGTTCATCCTGACAGAGGCTTGGGAATTGAAGGTTTTGAGTGAGGTAGACCCAGAAGTGGGACACTTGGTCCTTGCCTCAAGAAGTAGAGTCTAGCTGGAGGGATGAGAAGAGAACATTCAGGGGCTTGTTTATGTCCTGGAAAAAATGGCCAGGCTGCTAGACCCCAGTGCCCAGCGGACCTAGTCTGGCCAGGGTCGGGGCTGTGCCATGCACACTGCCTGATCCAGTTTGCACTATAGTCAGGGACCTCGTGGCTAGGCCCAGGCCTGGTTGGGATGTACTCACAGGAAGTAAGGCCCAGGTGTGCTGGGAGAACGAGGAGCGTGAGGAGCGAGCGTCACTGTTTCCACTGGGGCTGGTAGCCCGCCCCTTCTCTGGGAGGTCTGACCAGATGTGCTGGGAAGGGGCTCCTTACAGCCATCGCTGCACTCCAGGTGTTTGCTCCGCCTGTCCTGGTGGTCTAGGGCCAAGATGGCTGGGGTTGCCAGGGAGATAATCCATAAAGTCTTGCCTAGTCTAACAAAATTTTCTCGAGGAGCCAGGCCTGTCTGTGTCCCTATAGCCACCACCCCAGACTCTGTCCCCTCGTTTTTGTAACCTTCCTTCCCCCAGCGGCCTGGGGTGTCTCTGATGAATGGGAGAGGGATGTCATCCTTCTTTGTGTGGGTGGAGGCTAGGGAATTGCCCTGGAAGGAGGGTGGTAGGGAAGGGTAGGAGGAGGTTGTCAGAGACACAGAGGAGGAGTGGGAGGGGAGATGGTTCTAGAATCCCTGTTGCACAGCCCCACACCCCAGAATAAGGCATTTCCTCTTTTCCTTTGGAAATGGGGAGGCCAACAGCTTCAGGGGGCCTCAGACAGTAGCCCTCCCCAAACCTGGAGAACATCCCAGAGGATGCACTTAGTCTTGGATTCCTGTGCCTCCAGCCCCCCCTGGCATAGGCACAGAGCCTTTGTTCTGCCAGCCCAAGAAGTCCTTCACTCAAAAGTGTCCTAGAGACTCCAGGCATGGCTCTCTTGCCCCTCCAACCCAGACTCATGGCTACAGGGACTTCTGAACCCAAGACGAAGGTGGGGGAACAGCTCCCCAGGCTTTGGAGGTAGGATGAAGAAGCCTTGTCTGCACACATCCTAGCTCTCACGGGCCTGGCCCTGGGGCTCTGTCTGGGGCGGAGGTGGAAGGCAGGCTCAGGATCACTACACTTCTCTCAGAAACCCTGCCCATCCTGCAGTGTGTGTTGGGGTGCAGAGTCCGAGAAGTGCATCAGCAGGAGAGCAGAGCCAGGAGGTCTGGGGTGGTCTTTAGGGAGCCCAGCCCAGCCTGGCTCTTTATGGTCTTGGGACCTATGCACAGCCTCTGGTTCAGCCCAGGGCAGCCCCTCCCACCTGCATTAGGAAGGTGGGTGGCCCAGCCAGGCAGCCCTGCCCCTGAGAGCTCTGCCCAGCCCCCCCTGGCATAGGCACAGAGCCTTTGTTCTGCCAGCCCAAGAAGTCCTTCACTCAAAAGTTACTGTAGCACCAGCCAGTGGGTGCAGGGACTGCTGAGGGGGAGGGTGGCGGGAGCGGATCTCTCTGAAGGTCAATGTGGGAGGGAGCCCATGGCCAGGCAGCCACCAGAGCGCCTGAGAGTGGGTGCCTCCCTCCATGCGCCTGGTGCCAGGCAGTGGGTGGGGGTAGTGGTGGGGGTTCTGGCCAGGCCTAGGGTCTGTCTTCTCCCTTTTCCCTCCTTTCTCTGTCCTCCCAGGGCAGGGAGGGGTCCAAGGCTGTGATGCTGATGCACCTGCTCACTCTTCCAGCCTTGGGAGACAATTCTGGCCTTGACAGAGAGTGGGGGCAGGTTTGGCGGGGGTCTACTCTGGCCCTGAGCCCCCTGTGCCGACCAATGTATCCATTCAGTCTGCCCAGGCTGAAGGGCCGGAGCTGGGGGTGTCCCTCCAGGGGTGGGAAATGCCGAAGCAGGAACAGAGGAGCCACACAGCTGGCCTTCTCCTGAGAAGTTTGGCCATAAATAAGGGTCCCTTGGGGCTCTCAGATAAATTCAGAGCCCCAGGACAGGTACATGGTGGCTCAGTGGGGCTTGGGGAGTGGTGGGAGATGGGGTTCAGGGCCATTGGTGGGTGTGGCCAGTCACGGCCAGGACTGTGACCCTGGGAGGGCCCTTCCCCATTGGGCCTCGACTTTCTGCACAGGCTGGGGGGTCTGGGCCAGAGTGGCTGAGTGGGATTGGCTCGGGAGGCAGCCAGGGTGAAGTCGAGACCCAGTGGAAATGCCAGGCCCCTGGGAAGATGACGCTATCTCTCGTCCTCCCCCTTACTTGAGTATAAAATACACACCTCGGCATCCCCCGTGTGCCCTGAAGACAGCTGCCGCGGCGCTGCCCGCCCTCTGTTGCTCTTCCCACTCCGAAGCTGCGGCTCTCCTCTGGTGGCTTGGCTCAGCGGGTAGCCTGCCTGGGCCCCCGCCCTCCTGGGCACCCGCTTCCATTCCTCCCAGTCTGACTCACTGGCCCAAAGAGTAGGTTCCTGCTCTGGCTCTTCCGACTCCCGAGACTGTCTGTTCAGAGGCTGTCTGTCCATCTGTCTATCCACAGGCACCAGCTGAGAAGGGGGAGGGCACCTGGCTGCGCAGTCAGAGTCCAGGGTCCTGGGGCTCCAGTGAGCCGCTCTCTTCCCAGGGGTGCGGTGGTGCAAGAGGCAGGAGGGGCAAGTGTCTGTAGAGACAGATATGGAGAATCAGAGCCTTGGCAAGCCCCCTGGTGTCCCACCGCCTCCCACTCAGGGTGAGAACCAGGGAAGTGGGCCCTTGGGCCAGTCGCTTTGCTGGAGAAGCTGATGTGGGGTAGTGGAGGGTTTCCAAGCACAGCCTTCAAGCCGGGAGCCCAGCCTGTGCCTGGGAGGTCCTGGTCCTCCTGGGATACTCTGCCTTCTCTCCCTGGGCACCAACCCTAGGGAAGTCCGTACCTGCTGCTCCCTCTGCAGGGCTTTGCCTGGGCCCAAGCTGGTTCCCAATGACCTTTGTCCAACATTCTTGGCTCACTTTTGGGAATTCCTAGGGAAGCCCCAGAGGGAAACAAAGCAGCTTTGGCTCCTGTTACAGCTGTGGTCAGGGCAGACGGCTCTGGGGGCTGGGAACCCTTCCTCTCTTCACACTGAGCGGCTCAGCTGGGCACTTGCCCATGTGCCCGACTCCTGACCCCGCCTGCCCGACATGGCCCAGGCCTCCCTCTGCTCTGGGCCAGCACCTCTGCTTCCTCCTGGCCTTTGTGGTGGGTGGTGGTTTCTGGGCTGCCTCGGCTGTGGGAAGTGCCCTCGTTGTTAATCCTGGGCACCAACCCAGGGATGAGGACCTGGAGTTTTCCTGGTGCCTGGGAGGCCCCGATGCCTGGGAATAGCAGGGCTGGAAGCAGGGGCACGGACGGGGTGACCTCTGAGCGGACTCCCTTGACTCAGAGTGCCTGCTGTTTTGCTTTGCTTTGCTTCTCCTGTGGTCATTTTCTCTGCCTCAGGGGGGCTCTGAGAGGAATCATGGGCAGGACAGCTAGGTGGAAAGGGACCCAAGAAAGTCCAGTTAGACCCTTCATGAAACCAGTGGGGAAGCTGAGCCCCAGAGAGGACAGTGACCTGCTGGCTGCCCCTGGTGAGTCAGGGGCTGGGTCAAGATAAGAGCCTTGGACCTTTCCAGATACCCCAGCCCAGAGGCCTTCAGGTGCAGGATGACAGAGGGCTTCCTGGGGTCATTCCAGCTCCTGCTCAGGACCCCTGACTACCTGGAGGTAACATGTGGATCCCCCACCTTTGGAGTCCATCTACTCAATCCCAAGTCTCCCTCTGTCCTCCTGCCCTCCTTGGACCCCAAGCTTGAGAAGGAGTGATTCAGCTGGTCATCACTAGAGGGCGCAGGGAATGTAACCTTCAGGGCAGGGCAGGGCTGGGCAGGGCCTGTGGGTGGGTCATGTCTGGCCCCTTCTGAGAGTGCTGGGGGGTCCTCAGGGAGCCTCCTTTGGTGACCCTGGGAACCCTTCCTGGGTCACTGTAGCCTGCGTGGGGTGTATATTTGGGGGTCTAGTAAACATTGGGTGACTTGAGGGGACAGCATCTACTTTGGGACACCTAGTTTATGGGCTCTGTACCTTGAAAGGTACAGAAAGGAGCCACAGAGATCACCTCCTCACCATTTCATACGTGAGGAAGCTGAGGCAGGGGGGCATGACTTGGCCAGAGTGTTGCAGTAAACTGGTGTATGATCCGGGGCTAAAACCTAGGTCTCTGGGTCCCCAGCCTGCCTTGTCCCACCACCCCGCTGCCCTGTAGAGCCTAGCTGGCTTTGGCTTTGACCAATCTAGGTCTGCGTGGCCTCCGCCCCATTGCCGCCTCCACATGCCCACCTCTGAGCTTGGGTTTCCTGTTCGCTGGGGGCCCTGGCCAGCCCTTGCCCCATCCCCTCCCTGGCAGTCCTCCTCTAGGTCAGGTGTGACCTCCCTATCTTTGCCAGCCCCTACTCCCAGTCTCCCCATCGAGGCCTGGGAGCCACAGAGTATCTTTCTTCCTCCCCCACGAGCATCTTACTATTTTGTAAGGGCCCTTGGTTAGCCAGCATTGGGCTCTGGGGATGAGGCCCCATTCCCACCCCAATAGACTCCGATCAGAAGCTGACCTTGGCATCCTAAGGACACCAGGGAGGGGGTGCTGAAGCAGAGAGCCCCACCTATATCCATATATCCATATAGCCTCCTCTGAAGGGGGGTGGTGGCTGAAGTCTCCCTTGGAAGTTCCTGGGACCCCTGCTGCTGAGCAAGGTGTGAGTGACCCATCCAGACCTGGGCTGCCCTTAGCCACTTCCCATCCTTCTACATTTCAGCTGTCCCTTAATCGCAGGAGCAGCCCCAAACAGCACTGGCTTCTCTGCCCCTCACCGGCCTCCTTCCCTCCCTCCATCTGCCCACTGGGAATTTGGGAATGAAAGTGCTATTGTGAACGCCTGGCTGGGCCACTGAAGGGCCAGCTCTGTTATTTCTGCAAACCAGCCCTCCCATTAGCCATGCAGGGCTGAGGCCAGGAAAATGTTACCTTTTCCTCCTCAAGCTGACTGCAGGGGAAATTCTCACATTTACAGTTTGTGCGGTGGTTGTGTTTGGGGGGACGGGAGGGGAGGGCGGGCGCGTGTGTGTGGTTTGCATGGGGCAGGGCAGTGGAGCAGGGGGAATATGCATCTCCTTCCTCTGAGCTGTCCCTCCCAATTCTGCCCTCCCCAGTGACCTTCCCCTTGGTGTTGGTGGGGGTGGCCCCCTTCGCTTTGGTGGCCCCTCTGGTTGGGGGGGGTGGATAGAGGATGTTGGTTATGAGGGACATGCAGAGGTATCAGTAAATAAACTCATGTTCTCCCCTCTCCTGTCTGCCCTGGGTAGCAGCATGAAACTGTGCTGGGGCATTTGGGTAAGGAGGAGGCAGGAGGGGGTTACTGAGGAAGCAGGAGGACGGAAAGCAGAGAAGGTGGAAATAGGGACTTGCCGTTTACTTAAAATGGACCAGGGAGATGCAAGGAATTAAAAGGGCTTCTCTTTGGCATTGTGATCTTTCAGGGTGGAAAATCTTGCCCCCGTCCCCCTGCCTCTAGACTCTGCCACACTGAAGACATTTTGATGGCACATCTATTAATAGATTGCCTAGGGTCTCCACCCATTAGGTGTTTCCTGGGGACTGAGAGCAGTTTGGTGATGGGGGCAGGGGCCTCTCGGGAAGTCCTGCTTGTAGTCTAGCTTCAGACTCTCTTGTTCTTCCATTAGAGGATACGAGCCACCTACTGCTTTCCACCTCCTTGTCCAGTCTATGCACCTGTGTCCCACTCCTTCTGGGCACTTTTGCCTGGGAATTTGGGAAGGGGTCCCTACAGTGGAGGGACCAGCTCCTCGGTAGACCTACTGGCAGCTGGGCTGCATAGTCCCCAGGGCTTTGCCACTGTGTGCAGCTCATGCTTTTCTGAGGGGCAGGAAAGGAGAGGGCAGCTCCGATCTCTCTGTGAGCGACACGGAAGGTCCCGACTTAGAATAGAAGTGCCTGTACACTGTGCTTTACTCCTGTCCTTCCCCTGCCTCTGCCCCAAGGCGCAGGCAGTAGGAGGGGGTTCGGAGCTGGAGCACCAGCGGGGGTTTGTGACCGGAGGTGAAAAGTGGAGCCCGGTTGTGGTGAGGACCCGGTGTCTCTGTAGCCGCAGTCCTGGGCGCGTGCTTCAGTGGGGCCCCGTGGGGGCTGCGTGGGCAGGGGCAAGCTCCTCCCAACTCCCCCCTTGCCCTCCAGGTCTTATCCAAGGTCTTCAGTCACGAGGCCCTGCAGAGCTACCTGCCCAAGATCCAGCTGGTGATCCAGGACACGCTTCGTGCCTGGAGCAGCCACCCAGAGGCCATCAACGTGTACCAGGAGACACAGAAGCTCACCTTCCGCATGGCCATCCGGGTGCTCCTGGGCTTCAGCATCCCAGAAGAGGACCTGGGCCATCTCTTCGAAGTCTACCAGCAGTTTGTGGAGAATGTCTTCTCCCTGCCCGTCGACTTGCCCTTCACCGGTTACCGGCGGGTGAGCCCCCAGGGCCTGGGAGGAGGGAGGTGGGCATCTGTGGGAGAGGGTGGCTGGCCACTCAGTCACTCACCGGTCACACAGACAGAGAGGAGGTGTCAGCAGAAGGGCCATGGGCGGGGGAGGGGAGCCTTCACCCGCTGGTCTCAGCAGCTTGGATGGGAAGATCTCAGAGGAGTCCCTTCCCTGCCCTTCCTGGCCTTGGGAGGGGGCCTCTGGTGACCCTACCCTTTGTCTTTGGTGGCCACATCGCCCCCTTCCCCCCACCCCAGGGCATTCAGGCACGGCAGATCCTGCAGAAGGGCCTGGAAAAGGCGATCCGGGAGAAGCTTCAGTGCACCCAGGGCAAGGATTACTCGGATGCCCTGGACATCCTCATCGAGAGCAGCAAGGAGCACGGCAAGGAGATGACCATGCAGGAGCTGAAGGTGGGGGCGGCCTCCCCATTGGGTGGCACGAGTGTCCCAGGTTCTGTTTCTGCCCATCCTGCTCCCCTCCCACAGCGGCTGTCTCTGTTTGGCAGTGGTGGCCAACCCCACTGGGGGCTGGGGGGACGCAGCCAGTAAAGAGGCTGTGTCCCGGCCCGCTTCTTGTGGGTGGTCTGATGGGGAGGCTGAGAAACAGCCATGATGGGTGGGGCTTCCCCCCACCACAGCTTCTATGCATCCAGTCCTGGGAGTGAGTGGGTCCCCACAGTGAAGACGCTGAATATTGGCCTCTAGGAACCTCAGGACAGACTCTGTGTCAGTTGCTTTGTGGACCCCCTCACCCCCTTCGACCCTCAATAGTCACCAGTTCAGCGCATTTCATGGTCCTCAGAAAGGCAGCCTAAGCCCTTGGGGGAAGAGCAGAGGGTTCTGACCTAACTCTGGTCTCCTCCCCTCCCGCCAGCCTCTTTTAGCTGGTAACACTTGACACTCTCTCCCGGCCTGCAGGTCCCTGGTTAAGCCCAGCTGGGCTGTCAGCACCAGGATGACCCACACTAGGCTCCAAGAAGAACTTTCTGCCCACCCTCTTGTGGGTTGGGTGCACCACCTGAGGGGGATTTGTTAACTCATCCTTGTCTAGACTCTGTCGTTCCCGAGGGGGTCTAACCACAGACTTCTCCATTCCCTGTCTGTGCTTACCCCTGGTCTGACTCTGGCTTTCCCCTTGCTGAGCAAGGAGGAGCTCCAATGGCCTTCCCATTTCACAAGAAGTATTATGGCTTCTAGGTGGTGCCATGGCAAGTCAGGGACTCAGGTGCCTTCCCTCTCTTCTCTGGGCCTTCATTTGTAAAATACAGGCTTCAGAATGAGATGACCTGCTGGGACCTTGCCCTTAGGCTCCCAATTCCCAGAAGTCTTGCTCTCCTGAGAAACCTGGTGGGGTCTGAGTCTTCTGGGGGCCCCCTCCCCTCAGCCTTCTCACTGCTGTCCCAGCAGAGGTCCCCACGGCTATGGTCCCAGGTTGCCCCTCCAACCCCATCCACGCTGCTGCCCTCCCACCAAATGTCCTGGGGACGGAGGAAGGGGCTGGGACTGCCAGGTAGAGAGCCCAGGGGCAGACCCACCCTCCTTGCCTGCACGGGTCCTGGCTCCCCGGGATTTTTTCTTTTCCTTCTGGGAGCGCACTGCCCTGATGAGGCCTGCTCAGGCAGGCTCTGGAATCCAGCAGTGAGTGAGAAGCGGCCCTATCTATCCCAAGGGACTTCCAGGCTAGTGCTTCTGCCCTGGGCTGTGGCACTATGTTGTCTGCCCAGCAGGGGGACTGGCCCTGTGACCTGTATCCATTGTGGCCACAGCAACGTGAGGCTCTCCGAGGCAGGGCCCAGCTAGATGACCTTGGGGCATGACAGGGGGCCCTGTACTGGCAGAGGGGGGCTGAGCCTGGATCCCCACTTGCCGCTGCAGGACGGGACCCTGGAGCTGATCTTCGCAGCCTATGCCACCACGGCCAGTGCCAGCACGTCCCTCATCATGCAGCTGCTGAAGCACCCCGCTGTGCTGGAGAAGCTGCGTGAGGAGCTGCGGGCCCAGGGCATCCTGCACAGCGGTGGCTGCCCTTGCGAGGGCACGCTGCGCCTCGACACTCTCAGTGGGCTCCATTACCTGGACTGCGTCATCAAGGAGGTCATGCGCCTGTTCACACCCATTTCCGGAGGCTACCGGACCGTGCTGCAGACCTTTGAGCTCGATGTGAGGCTGGGCCCTGCAGGGCTGGGCCTCTGGTGGGAACGCTGCCTGGGGAGGGTGGGCGCTGGCCCGTGGGAAAGGCCGGCCTTCCTGTCGGGGTGCCACAGTGGCGATGGTGGAGAGCCGGCCCCAGATGCTGGGTCAGATGAAACCGACCGGGCTGTCATATGGGAAGCTGCATGTGGACATCTGTGAACAGGAGGGAGGACTCACAGGCTGCGGCAGGGGAGGGGATGCTGGCCAGGACTGAGGGACCATAGCCGGGGACAGGGGGCTGGGGGGCCAGCGGGTAGGAAGTCCTTGGCCCTCTTAGACCTCCTCTGGCTCTCACCACCTTCCTCTACTCCTGCCCCCCCTTCTTGTCTCCAGGGTTTCCAGATCCCCAAAGGCTGGAGCGTCATGTATAGCATCCGAGACACCCATGACACGGCGCCCGTGTTCAAAGACGTGAACGTGTTTGACCCGGATCGCTTCGGTCAGGCCCGGAGTGAAGATAAGGATGGCCGCTTCCATTACCTCCCGTTCGGCGGTGGAGTCCGCACCTGCCTGGGCAAACACCTGGCCAAGCTGTTCCTGAAGGTGCTGGCGGTGGAGCTGGCCAGCACGAGCCGCTTTGAGCTGGCTACCCGGACCTTTCCCCGCATCACCCTGGTCCCTGTCCTGCACCCTGTGGATGGCCTCAGCGTCAAGTTCTTTGGCCTGGACTCTAACCAGAACAAGATCCTGCCAGAGACGGAGGCCATGCTGAGTGCCACAGTCTAAAGGCGCCTAGCCCGTACCCCCACCTCAGCCCAGCCAGGCCTGGGGCGTCCGGGGGTGGTGGGAGGCACCAGAAGGGTCGAAACCTGTGTGGGGGAGGGGGCGAGAACCTGGGGAAGGGGGAGAGGCGCCCCCATACCTTGCCCTCCCCTGTTCCCCCCCCACCCCGACCCCGGCAAACCCTACCCAAAGCCAGAAGGGCCCCATCCTTCCGGGGGAAGGGCCCTTCCCCTGGCTCTTATTTCTACCCAGTCCCTCCAGTTCCCACAGGCTTAGCCCCCTGGGGGAAGTGACAGGGCCGGGCACTCCGCATGCCCATTACAGTGTTAAATGTCAGTGGCTCAGCTGCAGCATTTGCTTGTGATGTTCCCAACTGGTCCCAGCTCTCCATTTCTTTTGGACCCTTTTAGTCTGAGGGCGGGTGGTTGATGTGGGGGAGGGACGCAAGGAGGGGCCCCCTTTGGCTCTCTCTTCAGCACCACCCCCCTTCCGGCTTTGACCCAGACTGGTGGAATGTCCCTCCTGGTGTGGCTGCCGAAGAACAGCATCCTGGGTAATAGAACACAAGTCACCCTTGCTTGGTGGGGGGGTGGACTGCAAGCAGCCTGGAGGGGCCCCACCCCTTTGCCAGTTTGGACATTTGAAATTACCTATTGCTGCTACTTTTTCTCTCTTCTGACCTTGGGGCAAAGGAGCTCCAGGCCCTGTCCTCTCAGCATGTTCCCTGGTGGCCCTGGGCATGCGCACTGATGTCCCCACCTTCCTGCCAGGCAATCTTGAGCTCCTTTACTCAAGGAGCTCCTGAGTTACACACATACTCAAGGCCTTTGACTCATGGACCGCACCCCTGCCCGCCCCCTCCCATATTTATTCACTGACATAACCGAATCTTGGCGTTCCTGGAGACTGGAACGAGCCTCTCATCTGTCCCCTAGCCTCCATCCCAGCTCTCCAGGGCGGGACTTCTGCGAATGATGCTGTCTCCCTGCCCCTAGGCTCCAGACCTTCTGTGGGTTCAACCTCAGAGCCTCACTCCCTGGGTGAAGTCCAGTGCCTCTGCCTTTCACCGGAGATGGGGAAATGGCCCACTGCCTCCCTCCCTGCTTGGTCAAAAGCCCTGAACATATGAGGATTTGGAGACTGCCATAAGCTCCTGCTTGGCCACGGTTCACCCCGGTGCCCCCCACTCCTGCTAGTGAGCATGGGGAAGTATACGGGTTCTTTCTTCTGACAGGGAGCAAGGGCTTCTGTCGTCCCTCCCTTGACCTTCACCCTTGGCCCTTTGCCCTTGGAAAGATGTCCTTGAAGTCGTTCTCACCTCTATGCCACTGTCTGCTTCGCCCAGCTCAGGGGTGTGGGGACAAGATGAGAGCAAAGGGAGGTGAGCATAGGAGGCAGCCCTTTGGATGTGCTGACTCAGGTCCTTTGCTGTGGTCTTGAGGCAGCTGCGCCGCGTGCTGCAGAGCCGAGGAGGAGGGAATGTGCGATTTGTCAGAAGTGATTTGGTGGAAAACTGGCTGGTCAGGGGATGACTGGGGGAAAGAGGAGTAGCTCCTGCCACTGGCATTTTGAGTGTTGGCAATTTGGGATGCCTCCCGGGATGATCTGGGGTCTTTGGTGAGTCTCTAAGTGATTTTGTCTGTTTTTGGATTTTTCTTTGCTTTCTGTGTTTCTCTTTTGGCTTTTGATGTTATAAAAGCAACGAATCCTCTTTGTAAGAAAATCAAAAACACACAAAGAGTGCAGGAGACCAGTCTCTCCAGTCCTTCTCCATAGCAGTGACCACTGTGGGCAGCTGTGCGGCCCCCTCCATGGTGCTCCGTGGGAGGACTGCAGGCACCCCCCACCCCCACTCACACACTCTGGTGGTTGGTGTTAGGTGAATGGGCTCGTGCCCGGCAACGGCTCTGTAACCCCTGTTCTCAAGGGTTTCGTTTGGTCCCTACTTTTCCACCACTAAAGAATCCATGCAGAACATACATCACTGGCAAAAAGACATTTTTTTAAAAAATCAGCAAAATCCCTCAGTCCACCCCAACACAACACACACACACATACACACACACACACACACACACACACAATTTTCTGAAAAAAACAGGCAAACACATGTAAAGACTCATCAAAGCTTGCAAAAGAGCTGCCCGGTGCCCTGGAATTGGTTACCCAGAAGAAAAGCCCAGTGTCTGGAAGGTTCACGCTCCAAGCTGCCCCCAGCTGAATCAGTCGTTTTTTTTTTTTTTTTTTTTGACTGACTTTCTAAGAAGGCAGTAAGTGCTATTCCAGACAGGAAGCCCACCAGGCCTGGCCCTGGTGAGGGGGTTGGGGTGGGGTGGGAGATGGTGGGTTCTGGGAGGCACCTTACGTTGGGGTGACCAGCCTGGGAGGGGCCGAGGGAAAGGCTGAGGGGGTCCCTGTGAGGAGGAAGGAAGGATTATTTGCCCCGCTGGGTCTCAAAGGCAACAAGAAGAGAACTGAAAGACGCTCTTGACTCTTGACTGGCTGGCAGGAGGGTTCCAGTGTTGAAATGTGGCCGTCTCTGTCCACCCGTGCCTGTGTGTCTGTGTGCAGGTCTGTACAGGTAGTGCTAGATGGATGACGTTTCCTCACGTACCATTCCTAACTCTTGTAACTTGACCTTAAAAAGATAAAACCCCACAACACTCTTCCTGCCACGGGCTTGCAGATTGAAGCACTTTCGATGTTGGGCGCTGGTGTTTGTGACCTGGGCACCATCCTGACCCTGCCCAGGTCACTATAATATTATTTTATACACAAAACTTTTTTTTTCATTAATGTTATAATTTTGTGTCTGTCTTTATAAACTATTATAAGTACTATTTTTGTTATAATTCAAAATAGATATTTAGTATAAAGTTTTTGCTGTTAAATATTTGTTATTTAGTAAAATATGAATTTTTTCTCTATTGTAAACATGGCTCAAAATATTAATATGTTTTTATCACAGTTGTTTTAATATTGAAGAAGCACTTGTGTGTTTTGTTTTGATATGAAACTGGTGCCGTGTGAGTGTTTTTGCCGTCATGTGGTTTTAATCTGTATATAATATTCCATGTTGCATATTAAAAAAATGAATGTTGTGCATTTTGTGATTTTGGAAATACTCAACCTGGCTCTTTTATAGGCTTCCATAATAAACCGTGGGGACTCACCCTTGTTTGGCTGTCTGGTCTGTCTTCTCCATATCACCATCATCATCTCCTGGCCACCCACACATTCCCTTCCAAGATGCCCATCTGTCAGGCGGGAAATTTTTCCTCACAAGGTTTGTCTGGGAGACATGCCCACCATTCCTTGTGTGTAGGCACAGAGAAGTCCACGGCAATGGCCTGCGAGTAGTCGGTTCCCCTGGGTTGGGGTGGGGGGTGTAACTGTCTGACCACTGATCCCCAAGGGCCGTTGGGTGTTGGGGCAGCTGGGAACCAGCTCCGCTGGCCGAGTGTGGCCATAACCAGCCAGGCCAGGCAGCTTAGTGCTGGATGAGGCAACCCAGTGCTGAGGGCCTGTCCTCAGAGTCCATCCTGTTTTCTTGAACGAGGACACTGATGTCTATGGTGAGGGTCAAATAAGGGAGCAGAGTTCAGTTCTCCTGACTTCTGGCCTTGTGCCCCACAAGGCACTTCTCAAAGCCTATTACATGGGTGTTACAGGAGCAAATGGGTTCCCTGATCAAATAAGTTTAGGGAAAGGGTTAAGTAGAGCTGGGCAGCTTCCTTTACTGCAGGACTTGCCAGGACCTTGAGCCCAAGGATGTGTGTACTCAGGGGCTTCATGGCGTTGACACAGGTCGTGGGGCTCCTCAATCCCATTTGATGACTGAAATCATGTCCTCATTCCTGTTTATCACACTCTGTGAAAAGGTGATCTGCAACCTGATTCACAGAGGCCAGAGGTGAGGCCAGGGAAGGGCAGGACGTCCAGGGCAGGGACAAGGAACATCTGGCGTGGTCTCCAGGACCAAGGCGCCAGGGGTGGGGAGAGAGGGCCTCACAGTGCCCAGGCTGGTCCTGTCCTTGGCAGTGCCCAGTCCCCTCCCCACTGTCTGGGGAGGGACCCACTGCCTCCCAGTTGGCCTGAGAAAGGCTTTTTTGTGTGTGTTGTGTGGCTCTGGGTGTTGTTTATTTGTTTGTTTGGGGTTTTTTGGTTCCCATTAGTTAGTCAGACTCAGCTTCAATTCAGAGTCCTCAGGCCCAGACCTGGGTGCAGGGCCCCTCCCCACCTGGCCACCTGGGCACAGAGCCTGGCCACCCCCGGAGAGGGTCACCAACATCTCCTGAACCACGCCGCCAAGACAGGGCTCCCAGCAAGCCCTGTCCCCCACACTTGTCAGTCCGTCAGTCTGTCCTGCTGCTTCCCTCACCTTTCCCTGCAGGGCTGAAGTCTGCCCTCCCCAGTCTTAACCTCCACCTGGGGAGGGAGAGAGCAAGGGAGAGTCTTCTGTTTCCCATGAGCTAAAGCAGAGTTTTCAAGTGGCAGCGACTCTCCCATGGCCACACAGAAGCAGAGGGCAGGGTAGTCCCCGACCGGGAATCACCCGGCCTGTGGCCTCTCAGGGCTCCCTCAGCGAACACCCCCAGCTTCCACTAGGAGCCACACCAGCAGAAGGTCATGGTTTTTCAAAGTGGCCATTCCACGTCTCCTGGGGGAGGGTCCCGTGTAGCAGCAGAGGTGAAGGAAGCGTGGGCCTCGGGCTGCCCTCTGTCTGACCGCCCAGCCACGGGGTGGGAGGGCCCCGCCAGGCGGGTGGCTGGCCTGTCATCGCCCGGTCAGTCTGTGCCTCTCCCCCGTGGGCCCAGCGGGTCACTGAGGTCCCCCACACAGCCTCCTGCCCCCCTGGGATCTCCTGGCTTGGAAGCTGAAGGCAGGCTGTTGTGGACAGGCCAACATGACCGCTGTTTGTCCAGGGATCGGGGCGCCGGTTTGGAGGGAACTCATAGACCGCACATTCTGCCGCCTCCCAGCACTTTTCCAAAACAGCCTGGTCTTGGCTGGGCCCGGCTGACCGGGGTGGCCAGGGCCCAGGAGCCGGGAACAGGGCAGGGGAAAGCGGGGCCTCGGGGCCGGGCCAGCAGTGTGAGGTAAGCAGGTGAGGCCGGAGACAGCATTGGTTCAGAGCCAGCCCGCGCGGCTTCGACGTGCCTTAGTGGGGAAGTGGGAGAGTGGGAGAATGACTGTGTGTCTGTGCTGGGGGCTAAAGGAAAAACAAACCAGGCTTGCCTCAGAGTCTTTGGGCCTGGCCAGCCTGGTCAAGGCTCTGGAGGGCTGAGCATGGCATAGCAGCCCGGGGGACCAAACAGCGGGCAGGAACGTGGGCTCGGCGCCTCAACTCTTACATGACCTCTCTTGTCCCAGAAGAGATTGCTCTGCCCACCCCCACCCCCACCCTGGGGACCCTGGTGTCCAGGAAGAGACTTATTCCAGCCCTCTGACCCGAGTGTGCCATAGAACACACTGTGACTGGAACCCCCTGAGGGTGTGTGGCGAGAAGGTCTCACCCTAACCTGGTACTGCGGTACTCACATGGCAACCCTCCGCTAGGATTCTGGCCCGACCTGTGTCCTGGGTTCATTCTTGGGGAAGGACCTGTGATGGGTGGCCCTGGAGAGGGGGCAGAGAGGAGGCACCTAACCCAGTCCATCACCACCGCCCATTCCAACCAAACTTCAAGACCACCAGGCCCTACCTGAGCAAAGTCCATGAAGCCACGTTCCAGTTACAACAACAACAACAAAAACCCCCACAAAAACCCAAGAAA